ATGTCCAAATCAACGATCAGTTGTCCATTCTATCCAGAACCGGCAACACAGCGCACGCCTCGCCCTCAGCAAGGGAAACTACGTCGCCGAACAAAACATCGTGGTATGCATACTTGAGTCTCTCCAGCTGCCGCTCCCCAGACTTCTTGACTCTGTACATGCTGTTTCTAAGTAGACAGAGTCCATTTTTACGCATTTTTACAGCTATACATGCGTAAAAACCATTTTTGCGGGTGAATAACAGCAAATAGAACAAATGTTACGTGGAAAAATATAAACGTGCTGAATATTATTAGACTTGCTTAGGCGTGCATAGGGAATGCGACTAGGACGAGCTGTGCGCTTTGCCGGGCATCTCGGTCCCAAGCAATTTGAGCCAAACTGCACCGCACAATCCAGGTCAACGAGGCTATTTGCTGCCAGATCTGGTGACCTCAAGGCTGCTGACTAAAGCTCCCTCTGGCTGGCTTGATCCTTGCAGCGCTAACACGCGGTATTTTAGCGTAAAAAAAATTTATGTTTTTTGCGCAAAAACGCGCAAAAATGTGTAAATACGGGGCGCGAGCACATACAGCCAGTTGGCGAAAGCTCAGCGAGCTCGGGAAGCGGCAGGCGAATGCACTGGAATGTGCAGATGACGACTGTATGTTCGGCGATGTCGTTGCACCTGCCGAGGTACATCCGGAAATTGGTAGGCGTCGATGCTGTGCTTATAAGGGTTGATGCAAGGAGGTCATTGAAACGATGGCCATCAGCGTCGGTAAGCACTGCTTACTAAGCAGCATTAAAAATATTGGCTGCGTGGCGTCAGCCTTTATGAGCGCTGCAAGGCCTCTTGATGGAACATTCCTAAGCAATCAATATTGCGGCAATGCTGCATCAACGATCCCGTTTGTCAGCTCTGAGACGCACCCGTAAATTTTTGGGTTTTGATGCAATATTCGTAGGCCCTTGGATCCACGCTGGCCTTAACAGCTGCGCTGATGCAATTGCCTATAAATGTTGCATCAAAGCTAACAAATTTCCGGATGCAGAGGTGGATGCTGAACGGCGAGTGCTTTAGGGAACAATGGATTGTCCTGTTCGCGACTTCACCATACAACCTGGTGGTGTCAGCGCGCCACGAAAATGCGTAAATATTGCCGTAGAAATGGAAGTTTGTCTGTTTACGGGCCTTTATACATGAAAGTGTAAAAGCTGAATTGATATCAGAAACGCAAAGGCCAAGCCTGCCCTCACGATACTTTTTGAAGAGATTTTAAGGCGGCTATACATTGCAGGTGAGTCTTCTGAACGGGTGGAAACGACAGGGAATAGAGTTGATGACAAAGCCTTTAAGGAAACCAGAGCCGTAGGTCGGTACGTTCTCAGAGGGCAATGTGGAGGTGCCGAAAGCATATCCAAAATATTGTGGACATCATTACGAGCCAAGTCTGCTTGTAGCTTTTGGGGCGAATGGTGCTCTGAGATGTGGCGTTCCTCAAACGCAATGTGGAGACTGAGTGGATCTTGAAAAAGAAAGGAGGGCTGCCAAGCCCAGGGATCACTAGCAGACTCAGGGACCACAGCCTGACTGCAAATGTGACTTTGCCCTCGATTTAAGGTTGCGAATTTTCCTGGGTGATATCATGATTGGTTGCATGATTTCCCATGGTGTTCTGTGCTTTGGTGTTGGAGTTGCGTCACTGCACATGTGAGAAAGAAAACGATCGTGACTCATCGGCTGTACCAGAAATTCTCAAAATTAGAGGCCATTGAATGGCCGTAATTCAGCACAATGAGAACGTGTTCAACACGCTGCTCTGTCTAAGGCGTTACGACACGGCATGAGATATTTTTTCTTCTCTGATAGAATGGCATGAGGCCTGAAGACGCGAGACTTGAATTTGGTTCTTAAACAAGGAATGGAACGAATTGATTTCTTCCCTTTGTTTTAGTGGGGCTGATGGGCAGGGGAAGCACCGCATAGCCAGGGCAAGCGAGCACCAGCATGAATATTTATACTGGATCGATTTGCCACCCCTCTTGCTACACACCACCTCCGAGGTTGGATCCACGTGTGGGTTCTATTGTGTTGCTGGCTCATGAATGGAAACGACGAATAGCAGCTGCCGCAGCACATCGTGGGCTATGAACAATGCGGGTGCCAGCGACGGGGAAGCCACGGAAGTTCCTTCGGTTGTGCAACGGGGCCTCTTCGATGGAAGCCCATTGTCTTCAGAGCAGCCACTATTTTGTCCATACGGAAACCAGCCCCTCCCTCATTTTGACCGCGAGGGACTTGGCAAGGTTGCCAAGTCACAGGCTGTGCGCCCGGCTGACAAGACTGGGTAGAGTTTTCAATGAGCGCGCGAGCTCTGGCCAGGCAGTAGTTGACGGGGTAGATAAAGTTGTGCGTCAAAACGCTGCCAGCAATTTTTTGCCGTGCAGCATGGTGACGTGCTGCACCTGGACAGCTTCCCCCCACCCGGGGTGCTGCCTGCTGTCGGGAATGTGTCCCATCCTTGTGGCGCCACCGCCCTCCAGTCTTACCCTCTTCAATAGAGTTTCTCGTTCCTTTTAACTTCCCTAACAACCTTGCCGACGGCGCGTTGATGCCCTTGCCGCGTTGTGGCGCCAAGATCGTGCAGCGTGCTCGTGATGGGCGACAGGCGTTCGGGAGTCGAGCCGGAGCAAGATGCGCCTCTCCTCCAGGATGCAGGTGGGCTAGCGGGTGGGTAACGGATGCATGAGAATGGGTGGAGGGGGGGCAGCGCGGCATTCTTGCGGCATTCTCCGTTGCCCGGATGCTGCGCTCCAGATGGTCCGCGGATGCCCTGCTGTTTTCCCAGCGCGAGCTTGAAAACGAGCCATACCCTGGGGTCTACAGCGATAGCTGCTTCTCGATCGGCAGAGTTTAGCTGGAACGCAAAATAATTGTCGCTGGTCGGAACACCCAGGGGACCCGCGACAGGTTCCGCGAGTGGGTCAATACTCCATCGCTCTGAAAGTAAGCCCCTGGCCCGGATTGCCTGTGGGCAGCACGGGCCGGACGATCGCCCACGCCCTCCTTTCCCCCACCCCCGTTGATCGTTGAGGCAGCCTCGCATCAAGCTGCCCCACCCAGTTTCCCCCCCACATCCCTCGTTGCCGGCATCATTGCGGCTTTTCCCTGATTTGCCTAACCTCTCCGGAGTAGGCACGCCGCTTTCCCAGGTCATGGTCGCCAACTGTGCCGTTAAGGTCGCACATGTCTAGGCCTTCAATCCGCAAGGCGCCATCTGTCGGGAGGGACTCTTTTTCTCGTTTCTTCGGGAACAGGGGCGAGTATGCGCAGGAGGGACGGATCCATTTCTGGAGCCAGCCTTGGGTCCATGGTGGCGCAGGCCTTCAGCAGCGCGATGTGCCGAAGCCCCCAGTCTCGGCCTGGGCGTGCGATAGCTTCTTGTCAGCGCGACGCTGGTGCTCCCACCGCAAGACCATCGGCTTCTCGACGGCGTTTCATTAAACAAATGCTGGTGTGTGCCAGCAGCACTGTAAATTGCATCCGAAGAAGGGACGGTGAAAACCGACAGCGATGGACTAGGCGGACAACCGTCGAGATCATTCTGAGATAAAATAGATTTTCGAAACCTTTCAAGCCCACAAGGTGTTTTGCAGACATTGAAGGTTTGATACCAAGCGAATCAGACCAGGTGTCATACTGTGCGTCCAGGTTGTTGCCGCAATCTTTTCAGAATCCCAATTTTCAATATGGCAACCCCGGCCTGCAATACCTCGGCATGCCATCCCTGCGTTGAGATGCGGCGCATGTAGCAGGTATGCTGCTGCCTGTGAAGTCTGGTCCCTGCGTTGCCAATGGCAGGTGTGCTGCTGCCTGTGCAGTCTGGTCCCTGCGTTGCCAATGGCACATGCGTGACAGGTGATCAGCATATACATATGCACATTCCTGTAATGATCATATGTATTGCCATAGGTGTATGCCCACGTATTTGCTCCCACACCCTGCGTGCGTTGACATCGCTCTTACCAGTCTGGGGATTTACGTCTGACGGATCTCCGCTACATCGTCGTGCTCCCCGGTGTCGCCATGCAAACATGCCTTCTTTCCACTCCAGGGGACATGGGGGAAGGCCGCTGCATGTGATGGCGTATTTGGCCATCCCAAAGCTGCCTTCAAATTGCACATTGCCAGTTCCAATGGACTAGGAGCAACTCAGGTGGCAACCTTGAGCTTCGGCGAATATGAAGCTAAGTATATGCACATAAGTATCTTCCCAGTCTATATTAACAATTCGGTCATAAATAACGAATAGACCCATCGTGCGAGAGACAATTATCACATCGCTACATTTTTGATTGCTTCTTCTCATCAGGTTTCTTAATATGATCACTGTGATTGCAGGTTCGGAGAGCGGCGCGGCTGCAGGAACTGAAGGTGGCTCATGTGCCATCGTTCCCCAGCCAGTAGCTGCATATGAGGCCGTGTATTTAAAAGCATGCAGGGCCAGAGTGCGGCGGTTGATGGTGGGCTGGACCTCGGCCTCTGTGCTTGGTCTTGCAGCTTGCACCCTGACTGGTGCAGTCTGCTTGGCAAATGGCCATTACGCCGCCGGCCTATTTTTCGGGATCGCTGGGGCGGCTGCGAACATTGCGGGAATTGTTGGTGCCTCCTTCCACTTCCGCAGGCAGGTTTTCGTCCTTCCATCCGCTTGCCATCACAAAATCAAGCATTGGACCGACAGCATAATATTGCTCTGGCATGGCTGCGTTCCTCTGAAGCCTTGGTATGCAGATACTCATACCATAATCAACATACCGTCCCAAGGATGGGAGACGCACACCTGTAGCTTACGATGACTGGGCGGCATCTGGGCCTCTCCCATGAACGTAGTGGCGCTAGGTACCACATTCATTTTCTGTGGCATAATTGGATTACTATTTCATAATTTGCACCCCTTTTAATGAGCCTCGGCTTCCAAACTTAGTGCGGTGAACTGTCGTTTGCGCTTGCCCCCCAGGGCTCATCGGGATGCAGGAGATGCAACAGTCGACATCTGTGCTGCGGGGCGTGCAGCTGCTGTGCTGGACGTTGGTGTGGTGGGGGTGAGCTTATGGTACACCCTGATGCAGCTCGTTCCCGACTTCTGTGAGTACTGGCCCGACTTGGACATCCAGCACACAGCAGGCAACACAGTTGCTACATGTTCACTGGCCACCATCGTGTTCCAATTCATGGCAGTTATCGTGGCGGCTCATGGGGTCATCAGTTTATGGGCTTCCAGCTGGCGGCGAGCATGGCCTTACGGGCCAAATGCCAACCGCCTTTAAACGGCTTGACGCACAGGGATAATGAGAGCCGGTGTAAGAGTTGCATAACATAATGAACTGTTTGTAGACATGGAATGTAATTTGAGTAAGAATGACAACGAAAGGTATTTGAAGGTATTTGAAAATATTTGAAGGTATGTTTCAACGATCGTGTTTGTGCTTTAATCGTCCATCCGAATGGTTCTGTGACGCGCGACGTGGGTATTCTACAGGGGCTTGATCGTATGTGCACGGCGGTGTTGGATCCCCGCATGTCGTAGGGGCATGTTGAAAATCTGATTGGCATGTAGAAGCTGTCGCATTTGTTCAAATTTATTTCGCCATTACCTCGTGACATAAAGAACTGTCTTGGACACCAGATCTGCTCGGCAATGAGCCACTGTGTGGAAAGGACCGGGCTTTCCACCGTGCAAATCCGTGGACTAAAATATAATGAATGCACGAGAAGGAGGTTTCATAGGAATATGACCAGTCATTCGATGTGTCATCCTTAGAGCGTTCCTTGGATTTGACAAGGGCAGCCCTGGAAATGAGACCGCTGAAGGATCAAGTCCTGGACAGTTGGACCAACTGAATCCACCATGCCTGTCCGCACCACTACCGCCTTGCACCCTCTACCGCAGCACAGCCATTGCCACACCGACATCCAGTGATGTGGAATCAGTCTCTCCACATCCTGGATATGTGGCAGGCGTGTTGGATGTCTGCCTGGCGAATGGCAAGGCCCATATGGAATGCTGGTTCCAGTCACAATGCACTCCCAAATGAAAGCCTTGTAAGCCTCCGTAGTTGCAAACAAAGAGGGCGCAGAATATTCCAATTCTGTGGTCTTGAGAAACAGCAATTGGCTTATTATTATCTCACGACAGTGGAAATTCAAGCACTACAGTGCAACAGGTCTACTAAAAGGCTGCCATGTTGCATGATCCATGAGCGAGAGCACTTCAACACCGGCGATCATGAAATCCGAAATACAGATGACACAGGCGTACTTTGGAAACAAAAATCACATGATAAAACTGGTGATATTTAACATCTGTATTGAAATTTCGCGGAAACATGCGTGTTCATTTCAGCTCCAAATGGCCCAACACTCTTAGCCGCGGATTGCCTTGCTTGGGGGAGTTGGACCAGTCAGACCACTGTGCCCACACGCAGGTCATAAGCGGCGACGATGTATACATTGGGAAAATCCAAACGCTTTGGGCAATGGACAATTGTTTGGGGATTGCGTGGCAAGTTACTTTGTTAGCGTAGAAGCTTCTGCGCAGCGGAAGGCGCCCTATCCAAAACAGAAGATATCAGAAATCT